GCATTTCGCCGTCGGCTGGTGCCCCGAGTGAGTGTAGTCACGGCAGAAGAGCCTGGCGCGCACCTTCCCTAGATCCCACCATCGCCGTGCCGAGGGAAAGGCACGCCGCTGCTCTCGCCAGGCCAGCCAAAACTCCCGGAAGGATGTCACAAAGCCCTCATCCTCCAACAGGCTGTTGTTAAAGTGCCAATAGGCCGGCCCCGGCCTCTCTGCACGGAGGGAGGCTGTTATGGTGGCTAGATGATGGTCGGAAAATGGGGCCGGCCAAATGTTGGAGGAGTGGGCTTGTGAAAGATGGAAATGGGATAAATAAATACGGTCCAACCGAGAGTGGTGTGACCGATGGGCCTCCACCCGGACAAAGGTGAACGTGGAAGTGTCATCTAGGTGGTGGTCACGCCAGACGCCCACTAGGGAGTGATGTTTGACTATTTCTCGGAGAATGTTCGCAGTGGCCGGGCTCAGCTCGGCCCCTGAGCGGTCCTGTTCTTTGAGGGTGATTTTAAAGTTCCCTCCCAGGACTAGGCACTCGTGAGAATCTAGGGTGCTGAGGAAGTCGGACACCCGCTGATAGAATTGCGGCCGCTTCGGGCTCGTTGTCGGGGCATAGATGTTAACGAGGTTGACCCCGAGCCCCTCCATACAGACTCGGAGATGCAGCAGGTGGCCCAGCATGGCCTCAGTGACCCCTAGCACCTCGGGCCGTAGGTTGGGGGAGAACAGGTTCGCCACTCCAGCTTGTCGAATCGTGAAGTGGCTAAAGTAGACCCTGTCCCTCCACTCCAGACACCAGCTGTCCTCGGCGGTCGGATCCGTATGGGTCTCTTGCAGGAAAACTACAGAGTACCCCCCTTCCCGAAGGTAAGAGAGCACCTGGGACCTGCAGAGAGCCATCCTACAGCCCCTGGTGTTCAAAGTTGCAATAATGAGAGGCGTCATGCGGAGGGCTGGGAGCCTGGGGGTTCCTTGTTGGCGGGGGTGTTCGCGGCCCCCAGCGGGTTGCGCAACAATCCGTGACCCATCCCGTAAGTGAGTAAGTTGTCACGGAAGCTGCGGGCCCGCCCGTAGGCCGCGGCACCGTGCCTTCCTTTCCCTCTACCCTCCTTTATAAGGGGCCTTGTGGCCTGGAGGATTTGATCAAAGTCCCCCCATAGATGGAGAGCTAGCTGTACCCTGTTGCGGGAACCACGGATGTCTTCTAAAAACTCCCACAACGCTTTTCGCAGCTCATGGGGGGTTGGGGTTGCGATTTCTGGGTTATTCCCTGGTGCGGCTCTTGGTGCAGCCTCATGGTCCGCTGAGGCGGGCAGGCAGGGTGCGGACCACTGACGGGGCGTCTGACAGGCTAAAGTTATTAGATCCATCTCAAGCCTTCGGGTAGAAGGGGATGGCGGAGGGAAAATTGCAGCTCCTAATGGGTCGTGGCAGGAAAATGCAAAGGCTACTCCTTGGGGGGAATCCGCAAAAAACGGGAAAGAAATAACCCCAGGGGCGGCAATAGCATTGCAGGAGGAGGTGGATTGGGCAGGGACAGGGGTGAGGGCAGGGGCAGAGGCGAGCCTCTGGGCTTCGGGAGGCAAGCAGCTGAAAGGTCATGTCGGGGGGTTCGGCTGATATTCGGGCAGAAGGGGCTTCCTCAGGGGTCTCGGAGGGGAGGGTCTCCCGTGGAGGGGAGATCCTACCTTCCAGTGCTATTGTGTCTTCCCCTCCCGACACCGGCAGATGGATCTCACTCGTGGGCATAGCGGAAGGCTCAGTATCAGTGCCTCCCTTCCTGGTCTTCCGGGGGGCCTCCACACCAGATGGGTGCAGCGGAGCTCGAGCCTTCCGCTTGCCTCACTTTCCCTGGACTAGGGTCCAGTCCTCTATAGCATTGTCTGGGGGCTGGTTAGCAGGGGTCATGTCGGGGGGCAGAGATGATGGTTCAGGGGCTTGGGGGGGGTAACGGTGAGGCAGCATGAGGGGGGGTTCTCCTTTGGGGTGGCCCTCTCCTATGCCCGGTAATATCTTTTCTGCACCCTCTTCCATAGGCTCTGCTGGATTGTTAACAGCAAGGGCGGGGCTCCCCTCGCTTGTCTGGGTGTTGTAGGGGAGGTGTCTCTTGGGCCCAGGCGGGATCAGCGGTGGATCGAGCAGGAGGTTTCAGGTGCCGGGTGGCCAGGGCCATCGGCAACGACGGAGCCGATGTCCTGCCGGGTCTCGGAGGTCTCGGGTGCCCCTCCCCACCGGGCCAAGGGGCAGTCTCTTTGGACATGCCCCGATGATCGGCCGAGGTAGCACCGGGCCTTTCCTGTGGAATAGTAGACCCGATATCGGGCTCCCTGATAGGGGACTAGGAAGGACCCCTCGAGCGCCTCTCCATCACGCGCCGCCGGCGGCGGTAGAAGCTGCACTTGCCGGCAGAACGAAAGGACATGACAGAGGGTGGGGTCCCTGCAGCCCAACGGGAGAGGGCTGATGACAGAAATGGGTTTCCCCAGGGTGGAGAGAGCAGATAACAGGGCGGCATTGGGTAGAAAAGGAGGGACGGAGGTCAGGACTAGGCGAACGCCCAGGTCCTCTAGCGGTTCCAGGGGGACAAACACCCCCCCCCACCGCCAGGCCCTTCTCCACTGCCTCCTGGGCGACAGCCTCCGATGCTAAGAAAAAGACGACCTTCCCGTATATTTTGGAGGCTACCACAATAGCCGTGGGTCCTACCACCCTCGCCAACGCCTGCACGTAGGTCTCACCATGGGGCGAGGCGGGCACCAGGAGGCAATGGACGCCGTGCTTCCTGGTCATGGTGGGGAAGGGGCCCCAGCCGCTATTGATGGTAGCGGAGGTGGTGGGTGGGCGAGATGATGAGGCAGCAGGTGGTGGTGGGGGCTGCTACCGCCCGGGCACACGCCCTGGGGGCCGGGAGAGGGATGCTTGCAGAGCTGGTGGAGGGAACAGTGGGGAGGGACGCCATGGTCGATGAGGAGGCCACAGCAGTGGGGGCAGCCCCTGCCATGGAGGGCCTGGTGGTTGTAGCGGGGCCCTTTCCCTTCTTCGCACCCTGGCCTTTCCGGCCAACTGGGGGGGCTCTCCTAGAATCTGCGGGGGCGGTGGCCGTAGCAGCGACAGTAGTCTCCCCGGTGCCTCCTGCTGCCGATGCCCCAGAGGGGGCGGTGGCAGGTGTTTTGGCAGCAGTTGGGGGTGGGGGGGTTGGGGGTTGGGGAGGGGGGCAAGTTGGGGGAGGGGGAGCTGAGGTTTTTAGAGGGGCCTCATCCCTCTCATTCCCCACCATTGTGAGCAGGGAGAGATGGGGAGGCACCAGAAGTAGGACGGGGGAGGGGGAAGCAGATTAACCACATCTCCCTGCTGGGCAGCAGGCGGCGGGGGTGAGGGGGGGGGCCAAATGGGTCGGACTGGACGGGGGAGGAAACAGGAGTTGGGGTCAGGTAATAGGGGCAAACTGTGGGGTGAACAGTCCGGGGGATGGGGAGGGGGACGTGGACCCACGCGCGTTTGTCCAAAGAGTCTCATTTGGTCGGCTGTTGTGTCTGGTCCGGAAGGCAGAATTCAGAGCAAGGAGCTAAATCCAGAGGCAGATGGCAAACTGCCAGCAGGGACGGATGGCGGGCGGGCCGTGACGGTTGTAGTAGTGTTGGGGGAGGGGGCACCGATGGATCGGGGGGCAGCTCCGTGCCACACCCCTGTGCCCCTACAAACGCAGTTAAGACACAGTCAAACTCCCCCCACACGAGAGTACAGTTCAAAAGTTACTCAGTCTTACGGCCCCCTCCACGATGATTTGTAGCTTCCCTGGGTGGTTTTTTCTGTCGGCTGTCTTCCCTTCCGGGTTTTGTAGCTTTGAACAGTGGGGCTTTCAGCAGGCCCGGAATGTCGCAGAGATAAGACAATTCTTCATGTGTTGGTTATTTGTCAGTAACTTGACATTCATTGCTTGTTCTAATTTCCCATTGTGTGTCTGTGTGTGTATTTGTTATTTGCCTGGAATAACTCCATTTAAATCAGTAGGGTTCAGTGTTATGGCTAAGAGTTATGGTTAGGGGACATAGGGGGCAAAATCCCACTTTCATTTACACTTGGGTAGACTTGGAGTTGTGACTGCAATGGGGTCAGGGCTGAAGTCTGATTTCGCTTCCCACTCCCCCCAGGGTAAAAGTTTCCACTGGGGTGGAGGGTAGAGGTGGAACAGCTGTCTGCTGATTTTGAGTAGCCACAAACCAGGGCTATAAGAAGAGCTCAGCGGGGAGCTATACAGCTCAGGGAGGCTTTAAAAAAACATTTTAATAGTGAGCCACAGTAATGTGTATGTTATACTGTGCTGTGCCTGGCATTGTTTTTATGCACCCCGGTATGCACCTTGTGATAAGAGCTGTGTGTGTAGTAATATAACATTGCAAATACACCTACTACTATGTCAACCCCAGCCAGCATATGTTGTGAATTAACAAAAATGAATTAAGATTCCATAACCAGATTTTTATTCCAAACCCAGGCAAACAGACATATTTATTACTGAATGAAACATTATAAATACAGGGGAAAGTATCTTTGAAGGGGAAAGAACAGTTATTTCCCTTTATTTGGTTATAACTAACTTTATCAGAAGATTAGGCTTGGGAACTTGAGCCATCATCACTTTCTTTTGTAGCAGGAGAGAAATGTTACTACTAGGGAGTTGTTTTAAATCTGAACCTGATACAACACCAACCACTTTTGTCTCTTCTTATTTATGTTTGGAAAGTGGAACCTCTAAACTAACCAAGCTCGATGTTAGCTTATTTTCTTTTACATTTCCAGATTGAGATTCAGTAGGATTTGGGCTCCTAACTCCCTTATGCTCCTTTGCAATTGTTCCTTTTCTCTGAAACAGCCATAGAAAGAAGAAAACGGCTGTCAGAGGTTGACTTGGTCCTCCCATCTAGGCACTCCCCAAAGAGTCCATTTGTCTCTGAAGGAAGCATTCCACATCACCAAGAGCTCTCCAGGAAAATCTGGAAGAAGCTATGGAGAGGTCTCAGCTGAGAAAGGTAAATTATTTCTGTCATAAATATAAAGGGAAGGGTAAACCCCTTTAAAATCCCTCCTGGCCAGAGGAAAAATCCTCTCACCTGTAAAGGGTAAAGAACCTAAAGGTAACCTCGCTGGCACCTGACCAAAATGACCAATGAGGAAACAAGATACTTTCAAAAGCTGGGAGGAGGGAGAAAAACAAAGGGTCTGTGTCTGTCGGTATACTGCTTTTGCTGGGGATTGAAAAGGAATGGAGTCTTAGAACTTTTAGTAAGTAATCTAGCTAGGTGTGTGTTAGATTATGATTTCTTTAAATGGCTGAGAAAGGAACTGTGCTGAATAGAATGACTATTTCTGTCTGTGTGTCTTTTTTGTAACTTAAGGTTTTGCCTAGAGGGATTCTCTATGTTTTGAATCTAATTACCCTGTAAGGTATCTACCATCCTGATTTTACAGAGGTGATTCCTTTACTTCTATTTACTTCTATTTCTATTAAAAGTCTTCTTGTAAGAAAACTGAATGCTTTTTCATTGTTCTCAGATCCAAGGGTTTGGGTCTGTGGTCACCTATGCAAATTGGTGAGGACTTTTACCAAACCTTTCCCAGGAAGTGGGGTGCAAGGGTTGGGAGGATTTTGGGGGGAAAGACGTGTCCAAACTACGTTTCCTAGTAAACCCAGTTAGAGTTTGGTGGTGGCAGTGGATATTCCAAGGACAAAGGATAAAATTAATTTGTACCTTGGGGAAGTTTTAACCTAAGCTGGTAAAAGTAAGCTTAGGAGGTTTTCATGCAGGTCCCCACATCTGTACCCTAGAGTTCAGAGTGGGGGAGGAACCTTGACAATTTCTCATGCAGAAACTTGCCTTGTTTGACCCAGAGTAGATTTCTTTCAATTTGACAAAGCTTTTTTGCAATTTTTGGATTCAATCCAAACTGATTCTCCCCCCACGCAATTTCTCATAACTTCCAGTGAACTGAAATATCAGTCATTCGCCCAGCTGCCTCCCCAAACTTGGCTGAGGTTTCTAGGTACAGCCATGATACAAATATAAAGAGTGAATCTCTGAGGTACTTCTGGTAGCTGCACCCATACCCCACATCCACTCCCTCACAGCCTTTAAAGAGATGAGAATTTTATTGGCCTTTTATTTTTGGCAGGGTGATGGACAGGAGCTCTCGGGTGGTGAGAAAGAAGCTACTAGTAACAGAAAGGCAAAAGTCCTGAAGTGCCTTGAGAGTCTCTGCATTGCCTGTGATGAGGTGTGTGTCTGGGGGCGGCAATCATGCCCCAGAGCGCTAAGGAGAACAATCTAGCATGTTAGCCATGTGGATGGTGACTGAGATGCCTCATACAGTGGGAGGAAATACCTCCAAAATCCAGCCCCATGGAGATGTTCCCCTTGCAACGCAACATTCCCAAAGCACCAGGGGGCAACCCATGGACACAGACATACAGACCTTATGTCCTTTGGCAGGGCTCAAATTTGGGGGCCTTCAATGCTAAAAGCAGAAGCTCCTACCCCTTCAGCGAAAGGAGTAATGCAGTAACGGGCTTAGAATTCAGTAATGGGCTTTCTGGGGCTAACCTCTAGATGGCTCCATGCTCATGTGAATTCAATCAGTGCTTACTAAAGACCCTTTGCAGTGTGTGTGTATACAGCACTGTGGTTTTGAAGCCAGACAGAGCCTGAAGCAGAGAACAGATGGGAAGGGGACATTAGAGCTGTCACTGTAGAGCATGGATAGCCTTAGAGGGACAGAGATTTGGGTGAGCTATTGATAACTTGTCTGACTTATTACTAATGGCAATAATGAATAGTGACTATATAACATACTTCTACATGTATCACAGCCCCCTCTGATGATTGAACCACACAGAGGGTAAAAGCCAACCACTGCTTCCCACCCCCTGTGGTTACTCTGTTAAATGCCATGGTGGAGAAACGTGAGGAACATCCCAGGATCGTTACTCATCATTGAAAAGTGATGGTCCTTGGAGAGATTCGAGCTCCTGTGGACCTGACATATTTGAGCACATCTCCCCTCTGAGGGCTTTGCAAATGTCAGCCTAAGAGTCCTCCACTGCTTCCTCCTCACAATATTCTTCCTTCAGCACTAGGGAGAGTGACCTGGGTTTTTTGGTGCTCAAGGTTCAGTCTCCATTGGTGACTCACTTGTCACTAATCTTGTTAGTGCATTAGTACTACACTGGGCTGACTTTTTACATTCAACGCATTTTGAATGAAAAATTGCTATTTTGTGAAAACAGAAATGTCCATTTTTGACAAAAAAAATTCAAATGTTTTTGAAATAAAGAGAACCTAAAAATGTATTGGGGAGGAGACAGGTGATGGGGGGGGGGATCATTTTGCGGGTTTTCATGTTTTGGACAGACTCCACCCCTTAAATTTTTGATGAACAATTTGGTCCCTCAAAAAAAGAAAGCAAATTTGTCTAGGAATAAAAATAATTTCTTAAGCAGCTGTATTTCATACGTTATTTTTTGGACACAAAGACTAGTCCTTCTACATTACACACATTTGTTCAAACAAACTCACTCCCGTGAATCATGAAGAGTAAGGGGCATGAAAATGGAACACAGTAAAGAGCACTAGTAAGTTTGAGCCATATTTCAAGTCCAATGGAAATCAAAGGGAGTTAGGCACCTAAATTGCTTAGGAGCTTTTGGAATGCCCTCTAGGCCCTTAACTGCATCCCTTTGAAAATTCTGGTCCTCGTCTGTATGTTGGTACATAGGATTTTAAGCACAAAGGCCCAGAGGTTCAAAGAGCCCTAAGGGATACTGGACTACCCCTGTGTGATTATGGCTGAAAATGCAGGATAAGATGCATTTGCTCTTGACTCAGGATGGGACACAGGTCATTGGGCACCTGATAAGGAATGCTTCCTAACATCAGGCAAACAAGTCTTGGAACTTGAGGCTTTCTCTGTGAATTTCTTGAATGGACCAGTACCAAGAGCTGCATAGCAGAGACCACTGAGCATTCCTAGTTCAGTTGTCATTCCCTCTCTTCCCTCCTCCAGGATAACATGCCCAATATCGCTGTCCTAGGATCGGGCGGAGGTCTGCGGGCCATGATAGCCCTTGAGGGAACCTTGGTGGAGCTGAAGAAGCAGGGCCTGTTGGATGCTGTCATGTACCTGTGTGGGGTATCGGGTTCCACTTGGTAGGTGCATGTCAGAAGTGAGAATGTACCAGTTTTCCTGCACAAAACTGGTCACTGGGCATTCTTATTATTAATTAGCTCTGTACATTTTCAAGGCATTATGAGTGAGATTTTCAGAAGCACCTAGGCGTATGCCTAAACTGCAATCAGGGGGCATGATGTAACAGGCATAGACATACCTGAGCTAGCTTTAATCTTGCTAGCTTGGGAACCAATAGCCGTGAAGATCTGGTGCTACAACATGGGCTGTACCAGCCTGTTTTCGACCCTGAGTTCATTCTCATGCAGCTCACCCGCAGTTGACAGCCATGCTGCTGCATCTTCACTGCAATTGACACTCGAGCTAGCTTGATCAAAGCTAGCGCAGGTCTGTCTACACATGCTGCTGTCACACCTCTGAGTGCAGCGCAGAGACACCCTAAATGACTCACCCCTTGACTTGCAATGAGATTTGTGCTCCTAAGTCACTTTTGGAAATCTCACCTTTCAGTAGACATGACAGAAAATGGGTGCAAAATGAAACAGAGGTGAAGTTACACATGCAAGGTCACCCAGCAGGTCAGTGGTAGAACTGGGGCTAGAACATAGGTGTCTTGAGCCTTAACCCAGTGCCTGCTCACTGGACATCTGCCTCCTGGCCAGGCATGGAGATCTGATGCTGGGGACCCAAGGTGCTGGATGATATGGTTAGAAGGGACATTCTGGGCAGACTCAAGAGCTGGAGAAGTGAGGCTCAGTGGAGACAAGAGAAGTGATGTTTACAGCAACCAAGGTGACAGAGGACAGGCTTCCAGCAGTGGGAACAGTGAGAAAAGGGCAATCTGTGGGGGTTGTTAAGTGTTTGCAGTTCATTGGGGTTTACCAAGAGGTGGTGAATACACAGAGGGAAGAGTCAAACGGGTCTCCAGTACTGGGGCTTGGGAAGAAGGAAGGAGAGTGAAGTTGTCCATGGAGAAAGAGATGGGAAAGGAAAATCTTTGGACACTTCTGGCTGATCACCCAGGCCCAGAATCAGTCTCTGTGCCTGCTGCATAGCACCTCATTCTGAGAGTCACCCCATCGGGGTGAGTGAGGGGGTCAGAAAATGAGATGGGTGAGCGTGGGTGGCCTAGGGAAATTGGCAGTGTGTGTGTGTGCTACCATTTCCCTCTACTGGGTGAAATCTTAATTGCTTCTCCCCATGTCATACACCCTGTATTGCCAATGTAGTTTCCGTATTGTCTCAAGAAGGGCCCTGGGGGCTGGTCATACTTATAATAGCCGGATTAGTGTGCTCACCACTGCCCTCTGTTGGGAAGAGTCAGAATTGCTTAGCATGCATCATAGGTCCTAGAGAAGCAACTAATGGAGTTTCTCCATAGCTCAGAGCAGCAGGGGCCTTGGCTTTTTGCAGGAGATCTTAGTTCTATCCCTGTTATTGCCATACATTTCCCAGTGGCCATGGTGACAGACAGTCATGGATGAAGTCCTTGTTAAGTCACACATTTGTTACAGTGTCAGGATGATTAGAATCCCCTGCATGAAAAATAAAAGGTATGAAGATTAAAACGGGGAGGGGGAATTTCCCATCCTATTCCCTCAGTCTCAGCCGTATCTTTTCTGGTTCATGAAAAGGTGCATGTCTTTCCTCTACCAAGAGAAGGACTGGACAGAGAAAGTGCAGATCTTGGAAGAACGCCTGTGTGATACACTTTCCAAACCTTCAATTGGTATTCAAGAGGAGTTTAATATTGCAACACACGCAGCTGAAGATGAACTCTTCTCTCTGACTGATGTCTGGGCCTCTTTCTTTGTCTGTGAAACACTGAAGCAGGTGGGTTGCTGTGTAAATCCAGAGTGGTTCCACTGAAAAATCACTGGATTTACTTAATATATTCCTCTCTCTCTCTCTCTGTCTGTCTCCGCAGTACTTGGGATTCAGGAGCAAAAGAATGGAAGGATATTGACTCCTGCTAATATTTTAAAGCTATCTAAACCCTTTGGCAACTTTATAAAACTCAGCCTCTTACCATGAGCTCTCAAAGATCACTGTGGTATCTGAACATTTCTAAAGTGAGGCCTTCAAAGCTGTTTAAGGGATTTGGATACCCCTTTTCCATTAAAACTAGTGGGAATGTGGCCTCCAAATCCCTTAGGTTGTTTTGAAAATCTCAACTGAGCATCTGATCCCAAAATTGAAGGCATCAAAGTCTCAATCACAGTCTTTAATTTTTAATAATGGGTTCTTCAATCTATTAGAGAAAAGGTCTAACCCGATCCAATGGCTGGAAGTTGAAGTTAGAGACATTCAGACTGGAAAGAAGGTGTACATTTTTGACAGTGAGAGTAATTAACTATTGGAACAACTTACCAAGGGTTGCAGTAGATTCTTCATTGCTGACCATCTTAAAATAATTATTAGATGTTTTTCTAAAAGATTATTCAATCCAAAACTATTTTTGGTAGGTTTCAGGTCATTTTTGAAGCTCTTGGGTTTGCTTTTTAACTTTTTTTTTAATTTAGCTAAATTTTCAGAGGAAATACCATTTCAAAACAAAAAAGTTGAAATGTTTCACTTCAATGTAGCTGAAATAAATAATTTAAACTTTTTCACAATTTATTCTCAGATGAAAGAATTCACCACATTTGACGTGAATTCACAAATAATTTCAATGCTCTGAAAATGAATTTTTTTTCATAATTTTTTTTTTGCCTGGCTTTACTCCTCCCTAATTGCTATTCATTTTGATGGATCTCAGGCTCTGTCTCCACTGGAGCTGGAAGTGTAATTCCCAGCTGGAGGAGACTCACCCACATAAATTCTGATGGAGACCCTAGGTACGAACCCAGTGGGGTTAGCCCCTCCCTCTGCTTCTGCTGCTGCAGCTACACCAAGGAGATTCTTACCGTCTCCTTGAGCTGGTAATCTGACCTTTCTTCTCCAGGATAGCTATATCCTAAGGCTCTTACCTTGCTTAGGTGCTTTTGAAAAGTCCTTTATGTGCCAATCTGCATCTTTAAGTGCCTAAATATTTTTGAAAATCTGGGCCTAATTCCCTTAGTCCCATTTGAAAGTCTCCACCATGGACAGTAAATACTCTGTTTGTCCATACAGTGCACACTAGAATGAGGGAACAATGACAAAGATGATGATGGTCTCAACAAAAAGGGTCTTTGTAATTCCTAGCCTGAACTAATTAGTCAGGGACGAATTGCTGGGAACATGACCAAACTTGTGTCTTTCTGCACTAATCAATTCTTACCTTTCCAGTATGATAAAACCAAGTTATCTGAACATGACGATGCCTCTAGAAATGGGAAAAATCCTTACCCCATCTATGCAGCAATAGAAGCAAACCAAATGGATAAAGCAGGTGAAAACAGTCCAGGTAAAAGAAAAAAAATTGTTTTGCATAAACCTGTCAAATCTCTCTCTTTCTCTCTCATTTTCAATCAATTTTTTTATCAATTACTTTACCAAAATAGTTATTGATGTTCTTCATTTTTCAAAAAAACCCAGGTTTGTCAATAAATGAAAAAATCCCATAATTGTTTCAGTAGTGACTTTGAAAACGTTTTCAATACAAATGTCTATCATATAAGTTTGTGATAGATTTCTCAATGAATTGTAAAAAGGATCAGTTTTGAAAATGAAAAGAACTTGGAAAACTTCAGAAAATGTTGTTGTGAAATGGTTTTCCTTTTTAATTAGCTCTACAGTTAAATGTATCACTTTTAAATTTGACACATTTTTTCTTTATACCTTTGGGTTTGAGTTAGGGATGGATGGGTGGAGGGTGGGTGGATAGGGGTTGTGATCACCACAAGAGGAATTCTGGGGTATCCAAGGACAGCAGATACTGGCTTAGGAGGGAAACACCAGATGAAGGAGGTCACCATAGAAAATGGCATGAAAATGACCATGGGGGAAGGAACAGACTGAAAAATTAGGTGGGATTCACTGGTGGAGCAAACAAATAGAGGGGATGGGAATTGAGAAATTATTGCCATCAGCCAAGAAAGGGACAACAAGAAACTATCTATATTTCAAAGGGACCTGGTTCGAATTCACCCCCCATGAAGCTGGCTTTCCTGGTCTGGAGGCATTTGTGGACACAAAATACCTGGGAAGCAAATTCGAAGGTGGAAAGCTGACAGAAAAGAGGGAAGAGAAAAATATCTGCTACCTGCAAGGTAAGCATTGAAGCCCCTTATTCTTAGCTGATCAATAGATATGTAACCCTTCTGCCAGGTGGAGTCAGCAGCAGCAAGGGCTGGCTTCAATATCCAGGGGTCCCTCTTAACAATATAACACAGAAACCAGCCCCACCCAGCAATCTGGGCAAATTACACACCACTGCTGGGTGCTTCTAAGAGGCAAAACTTTCCCTCCCGCCGGCACTGAGCCTGTGTCTAGCAGAGAAAACTTTTAGTAAAAGGGGCAAGGAGCCCAGCATTAATTTGGGAAAACACCACTACCATGATTTGAACACATCCGACCACGAGCAAAACTCCCTCTCCAGAGTATGTTGGGCAGTGTCCTGGGCCTCCGTTTCTCACCTTGCCATGTGAAAGTCCAACAAACAGATGTCCCTTTAACACACCACTGCCCTCTCCTTCCACTGCACGCCACTCACAGCTGCTGTCCTTGGTCAGTGGAGACCCAGAGTTCAGAGGTCTGTTCAGGTGAACTCACATCCCAGACGGGGAGGGTCCGGGGTGGGGAATGTGGAGCAATGACTCACCTGCTGCTATCACTGCAACTGGCTCACAGTTGCTGCGGTTCACTCTGTGTCGCTGCTGTCATTCGTCATGCCACAGTTCATTGCACCGCGCTGTTGTCTGCTCTGTCACCAATGGCCCTGTGCCCTCGCCTCCTGCTGTCCCCTGCCTCCCCACTGTGGCCTCTGCGAGTCAGTCTCTTGGGGTTCCACCCAGCTCTCAGTGACTTCAGCCGCTAGTGGGGGAAGCCCCCTGCTAGTGCAGACTGGGCCGTCTCTTCCCCCGAACACTGTCCCGCATCAACTCTAAGGCTGAGCACTTAGGCCTGATTATCCGTGATTTAGCTCTAGTGGTCACTTGCCAAAACAATAAGCTCTCAACTGAGCCTAATTAGCTCTACATTTAAACAGGGGATAGGAGCAGGTCAAATGGTGCTTATGACTCTTAGACAGAGCCCATCCCTCTCGGCAGAACCACTTGTTCCCCTCCCCCACTCTCTCCCCACTGGGATCTGGCATCAGAACCCCCTGCTTAGCAAGTACAGTTCAGTTCATTTGGGCTTGACCCCCCCACCCCAATAAGGGCAGGGTAAGCACAGTTCTGCTGCCCTTTACTCATATAATAAGGATAACAACATTTCATGATCCCTGCATTCAATACTGAAGTGATTTGTAACCCAATGCCAGACAAAACTGGTCACTTGGGCAGGATGCCTCTGCAGATTAGGTGTGTTCATGCAAATACAGTCTGGTCCTGGAGCCTTTTCCCCCCATCTTATCACTAGCTGCCAGGGGAGAGCCCATTTATTCCTTGCTGATAGATAGATAGAGGGGGTGTATGGAGATAGATAGATAGATAGATAGATAGATATTGCAGGTCCACCATGTTGTTCTAATGCATCATATTATAGACCAGCTTGGAATGTTTCATAGAATATAGAATATAAGGGTTGGAAGGGACTCCAGAAGGTCATCTAGTCCAACCCCCTGCTCGAAGCAGGACCAAATCCCAGTTAAATCATCCCAGCCAGGGCTCTGTCAAGCCTGACCTTAAAAACCTCTAAGGAAGGAGATTCTACCACCTCCCTAGGTAACGCATTCCAGTGTTTCACCACCCTCTTAGTGAAAAAGTTTTTCCTAATATCCAATCTAAACCTCCCCCACTGCAACTTGAGACCATTACTCCTCTTTCTGTCATCTGCTACCATTGAGAACAGTCTAAAGCCATCCTCTTTGGAACCCCCTTTCAGGTAGTTGAAAGCAGCTATCAAATCCCCCCTCATTCTTCTCTTCTGCAGGCTAAACAATCCCAGCTCCCTCAGCCTCTCCTCATAACTCATGTGTTCCAGACCCCTAATCATTTTTGTTGCCCTTCGCTGGACTCTCTCCAATTTATCCACATCCTTCTTGAAGTGTGGGGCCCAAAACTGGACACAGTACTCTAGATGAGGCCTCACCAATGTCGAATAGAGGGGAACGATCACGTCCCTCGATCTGCTCGCTATGCCCCTACTTATACATCCCAAAATGCCATTGGCCTTCTTGGCAACAAGGGCACACTGCTGACTCATATCCAGCTTCTCGTCCACTGTCACCCCTAGGTCCTTTTCCGCAGAACTGCTTCCTAGCCATTCGGTCCCTAGTCTGTAGCTGTGCATTGGGTTCTTCCGTCCTAAGTGCAGGACCCTGCACTTATCCTTATTGAACCTCATCAGATTTCTTTTGGCCCAATCCTCCAATTTGTCTAGGTCCTTCTGTATCCTATCCCACCCCTCCAGCCTATCTACCACTCCTCCCAGTTTAGTATCATCCGCAAATTTGCTGAGAGTGCAATCCACACCATCCTCCAGATCATTTATGAAGATATTGAACAAAACTGGCCCCAGGACCGACCCTTGGGGCACTCCACTTGATACCGGCTGCCAACTAGACATGGAGCCATTGATAACTACCCGTTGAGCCCGACAATCTAGCCAGCTTTCTACCCACCTTATAGTGCATTCTTCCAGCCCATACTTCCTTAACTTGCTGACAAGAATACTGTGGGAGATCGTGTCAAAAGCTTTGCTAAAGTCAAGAAACAATACATCCACTGCTTTCCCTTCATCCACAGAACCAGTAATCTCATCATAAAAGGCGATTAGATTAGTCAGGCATGACCTTCCCTTGGTAAATCCATGCTGGCTGTTCCTGATCACTTTCCTCTCATGCAAGTGCTTCAGGATTGATTCTTTGAGGACCTGCTCCATGATTTTTCCAGGGACTGAGGTCACTCAAGGAAACTCAAGTTTCCAGTCACTCAACCCTGTAGGTCTCATCCCAGTCTCAGAGCTCTCTTCCCAGCTGCTTGTATCTACCCAGCTTTTCTTCCCTCCCACAACTCAATCTTCCTTCTGTACCCTCACCCCGATTTCCACCTCACTCATGACATTCACTCACATGTAACCCCCTTTGCTCACCCTTAGCCTCCATCTCACCCTTTCTTCAACCCAATTGCCTCCTCCTGAAACATGGTTAGCTTTTGTATAGATAGCGATCCTATCCACCGATCTAAACACGGTTTTCAAAAGTTTGGTGAGCATCAACATACCCATTTTACAAAGAAGGAGACTGAGTCATTGGAAAATGGCTTCTCTAAGATCATAAAGGTTGGGAATGGAAGGTAAAGGAATAGAAGTCAGGTTTCCTATGTCTATGCTACTGCTCTGTCATTAGTGCTGTGATTTTCTGAGGCGCCTAGGGAAGTTAGGAAGTCCATTTTTGCATTGAATTCCAGTAGGGTTTGGGCACCTAACTCCTACAGTGTCCTTTGAAAATCCTAGAGAGGAACTTTCACCTTCCTATTAGTTAATATCCGGTATTTGCATGTCTTGGCCTTTTATATTTTATATTTATTTATTTGGATTGGGAATTTCCAAAGGGTCTAAAAGGGTTAGGTAAGTGTATGTGTGTGTGGCGGGGGGGGGAGATATTTACAAAGGGTAATTATGTACCCAATTCCCAGGAGAATTCCATGGGTTTTGGAGCTGTGATTTGCTGAAAGGGCATAAGTGCTTTAGGATCATAAGGATCATTTGAAGTCAATGGGTGATTTGTGCTCCTAAATCAGTTAGGCACTTTTGAAAATCCCATCCTGGGGGTCTAACTCCCTTATTCCCTTCGAAAATTGCAGCTTCATTAATTAATTAATTCAAATTTGTTACTATACCAATCAAACACAGCCCATCCTAGGCTCTGGGTAGCTTTGCCATTACTTCAATATGCATCTCCTAATGTAAGACAAATCCAGTGATTAATTATCCTTAGAAAACAAACAAACAAACAAACATTGTAACTCTAAGGGTAGTTAAGCTCTGGAACAGGCTTCCAAGGGAGTTTGTGGAGCCCCTAGCACTGACGGTTTTAAAGAAGTTGGACAAACATCTGTCAGGGATGGTCTAGCTTTACTTGGTCATGCCTTAGTGAGGGAGGATGGACTAGATGACAGCTCAAGGTTCCTTCCAGCCCTACAGTTCTATGATCCTGGAATAACAGTAAACCCAGCAGGATTGCAAACATAACAAATAAATTTAACACACCCACTGAGAAGACAACCACTGCCTTCTGAGGCTGCCCTGCCCTCACCTAGCTCTCAACTCACTACTGGGCAGGAATGTTCCAAAAGTTATCAAATGCTCTGGGCAGGGACTGTCTTTCTGTCTCGTGTCTGTCCAGCACTTAGCACAATGGGGTCCTTCTTCATGGCTAGGTCACCTAGGCATTATGATATTACAAATACCAATACTCATTATTAGGATTGATTGAAATTTGGTATTGCCATTCCGCAGGAAATTTGGACATTAGTTTGTATCCCAAATCAAAAATAAAACACATAATTTAAACCTTTCCCACAAAATGATTTCCATTTTGATAAAATCGAAATGTTGCCTTCCTATTTCTACTCTTCAAATGTTGTCTGTTATAGTTTCATTTACACTGTATTATACAGTCCAATCAATTTGGAAATGAAAGGTCATTTCAAAATGAAAAATTGAAACGTTCTGCTCCTATAAGGTCAACCTGATTCATTTCACATTTATTTTTAAAATGAAATGTTGTCAAAAATCAACAAATTTCCATGGAAAGTTCAAATTTTGACAAAAGAGTTTATTTGCTGATGCAAAGAATATTACATTGGAATATTTTTTGACCACCTCTACTTACAATAAACTTTTTCAGTTATGAATCAATGTGTGAACCAAGTTGCAAAAGCACATAACCCATGAGAGATTGGCCTGCCAGTGCCCCCTTGACTTTTCTGCTAATGGGGCTCCTGCCCAGGCAACTCCTTACGTCGTATTAAAGGGAAAGTCCTTGATGCTGCCTTAGCTCCACTGTGGTAAATAAGGTCTTTTCCTTCTTGTTTTCAGGTTTATGGGGAAGTGCCCTTGGAAGCATGGACGCAAACAAGGAATATTTAATAGGTACTGACATTTCTGTGTGTTGAAGGTAGGGTCGAGTCGTCAGTGGAATCGGAACAGATCCCCAATGGAGGAGCTACGGCACCATTCTGTAGCAATGATTCCAATACCCTACTGTTTATCACAGTGACACTGTCATGTGTCAAACAGTCACTGTTTTAGCAGTATCCTAAAGTAGCCCGTGGATGTCTGCCATTTGTGGATGGGTTGGATTTTCAAGGATGAGGGAGACCGAGCACCAAACTCTCATTTTGTGCCTTTCATAATCTCCAGCATTCCAGATAATTTCCAGATTATTATATCTAGGGCTGAGATTTTCTTAACTGATGAGGGGATTTGGATGCTAATTTCCATTAATGTTAATAAGAGTTGGGCATAATCTAATCTCATGCTTCAGAGCTTCAGCCAGTCACTGGCAGCAATCAGGAAGGAATTTCTTCCCTGATGTACAATTGTAATCTGTTTTTATTTATTTTATTTTATTTTACTTTATTTTATTTTCCAACCGCTAGAGATGGGATACAGCTGGGGTAGGCCAGTGTTCTGATGTGGTACTGAGAATCCTCTTTCCAGATGACTGGTTGGTGAGTCATGTTCAGGGTTCAACTGATCACCAGATTTGGGGTCAGGAAAGAATTTTCCCCCAGCTTACATTGGCAGGAACCATGGGGTTTTCTTAACATTTCTCAGCAACATGAGGTGCAGGTCTCTTGCTGAGATTATATGGGCATGTCTCACCTAGTCATTCCCTGCCATTGCCAGGACCTCTGCCTCAGGTGCCCTTCAGTCTTTCCTGTTCTCTACCTGTGACACACCAACAGTTCAGTAACCTACATACTGACACACTCACTTACTCACACTCATCTCAAATAAACTGTTAGTCTCTATCCACAAGTACTCCTTTTCTTTTTGCGCATACAGACTAACACGGCTGTTCCTCTGAAACCAACAGTTCAGTCTCCTGAACAGTGCCTTAGTTTAACTGAGGTCACTGGGCTCAGCCAGTGACATCTATGTGAAATTTAGTGGCCTCTTGGTCTCAAACTCTACAAATCCATGACATTATGAAATTCAACTCCTTTAGGCATTTTTGAAACTCTCAGTTTAGATTAAATCCTGATTTCAAACTTCAATCTCATTTTGCAAAGATTTAGCCTTTGGGGCAAATTCTGGCCTCACTTACACCTGCATAAATCAGGAGCAAATGATTAGTCAGTGGTGGAATTACCTCCACTTCATACCAGTGTAAGTGACATCCAACTCATTGTATGGAGGTGTCGAGGAAATCCAAAACTAGATGATTGGTTACTGATGATTTTAAAGGGAAGCAAACACTCAAAGACTGGCCTCAAGATTTGTGGTGGTGATTTGAAAACAATAGTTATCAGACAATGTCTAGATTATAAAACCTAGATAATGATAAATTCTAAGCCTTGATTGTAGTTTCAGGTTTGTTTTACACTGGTTTAACCCCACAGTGAGAAATTGTCTTCATTTACACTACCATAAATCAGGAATAATGCCAGTGAAGTCAGTGGAGTTACTTCTGAATAGAGCCACATCAAACATTTTGTCTAAACAGTTTTCCGCCAATCAAAAAAAAAATGTGGGAATGTGTCAATTCTGATATAATATTTGATGGAAAATTTTCAAAATGCTACAAAAACCAAAATGGAGTATTTTGTTTTGACTTTATCGTTTTATTCAACTTTATCTTTTCATTTGGTTTCAACTTTTATTTATTTTTTAGCTAAGTAGCTAAAAATATCACATTATATTTTATATTATATATTTATACCATTTTCTTTTCCCATATAATGATTCACTGTTGAAAGAAAACATTTTAGTAAGGTCATTTTGGCAATTCTAAATGGAAATATTTTACAATTTCATTTCTCCAAGATATTTTGATGTTTTGACTTTTTTGAACCAATTTGAGATGAAAACAAATTCCACAGGTTAGAAATTCAGTTTTCTTACCCACTCTCCTTCTGAGTTACACCAGTGCAAATCATATCAAAATCAGGTCCCTGATGCCTAGATCGAAGAGCACCTAAACCTTAAAGAAAACAATGACTAATTTTTAAATTTCGTGACCCAAATGTGATTTCCTAGATTATATGGTTAGTGTCCTTAGCTGTGAGATCTCACTCATAACGCTTGTGTTCTGTTTTCCATTGCTGAGACTTTCTTAAGGAAATATTCCGAAAACTAAGAGAACATTGCTGTGCAGTAGGTGAAGCAGGTGGGTTATTAAATTCCTGGAACCATGGGCCGTGTTTTTTTGTTTTTTTTTAAACTCGCCCTGGGTTTATCTTGACATGACTCCATTGACATGAAGAGAGCTATTTCTGATCTGTACCACTGGGAGAGGCTATGACTGCACTGACAGAAGGAGTTTTTCTGGTGGTATATAACCACTAGTTCCCCTAACAACATTAGCTATATTGACAGAAGCACTCTTCCATCTTCATAGCTATACTGAGTTTTTGGGGGGCGGAGTGGAGTTGGCATAGCCACGTGTGTGTGTTTTTTCACTCCCGAGAAGAACACAGGCATGCCCTATAAGCATAGATTGAGCCAGAGGGGAATCAGGCCATTTCCATTAATGACATATGTGATTTTCATGGGTCTCAATGAATGTTAACACTGATAGTCTCTGTTTGACAAACGCTTGCCCAGAACAAAATCACCCTGAAAGCTCATATGTGACCTTCGCTACATGGGGAATTTTACCACTTATCCAGGTATAGGTATACCAGAATAACCCTCATGTGGACACTCTTGTTCAGATGTAAGCATGGCTTTCTCACATTAGCTTAAACCACTCCCAGTGAGATATATGCTAAACCAAAAAGGGCAGAAATAACTATCCACAAGAGAGTAATAGATTACAAGGCAAGAAAGGGACCATTGAGACCATGTAGTACGACCTCATAGAATATCAGGGTTAGAAGGGACTTCAGGAGGTTATCTAGTCCAATCCTCAAAGCAGGACCAATCCCCAACTAAATCAAACCTCCAGTAAAACAAACACCAAAGACCTTCCCCCAAATAATTACTAGAGCCGTTCTTTTTAGAAAAAAAACATCCACTCTTGATTTAAAAATTGCCAGAGATGTAAAATCCACCATGACCCTTTCTAAGTTTTTCCAGTGGTTAATTACTCTCACTGTTAAAAAAAAAATGTTTTCCTTATTTCCACTGTGAATTTGTCTAGCTTCTATGTCCAGCCATTGAATCTTGTCATATTATTATAAATATCTATAACTAGCTACATGGGGAGCAAATCCCAGATGTGTCCAGAAGTTCTTTTATGGCCTATGTTATACGGGAGGTCAAAATAGACTATCACAATGACACTTCTGGCCTGAGAAGTTATGAATTGTAATGAAAGAGACCTACTCTCCTTCAGATACTACCTCACCCACCTTGTCTCTCTCATATCCTGGATATAACAATACTGCCAACAAGAATGAATTTTAATGCAAGTTAAAAAACATTTTAAATCACACTAGGCACCTATTTTCAAATTTAGGCAAATCAATACCTTAAAAATCCTGGCCAAGTGTCCAATTCCCATTGGTGCCTTTGAAAGTCTTCATCTTAAATCATTTGGCTGAGATTTTCAAAGAAGATCAAGAGAGTTAGGTGCCCAAATGCCACTGACTTCTATGGGTACCTAACTCCCTTAGTATTTGTAGTAAATCTCAGCCTAGAGTCCAGTTTTTTAAAGATATTTAGGCACCAAATGAGATTTTCTAAAGCATCTAGGTGATTATCTACCTTTGAAATCAATGATTTTGAGGCAGTTAAGGTACTTCTGAAAATATCATTAGGTGCCTAGATACTTCTAAAAATCTGGCCCTAAATGACTACCCCAAGGCCAGACAGGGAATCAGAGGGGAGCTAGGAAAAGAGCCCAAGTGTTTTTCTGATCTTCCCACAGTGGGAGGTCTGGAAGCAGAAGGCATTTAAAAGGTGTCCCTGTGAAGTCCAGCTGGTTGAATCTTCTGCAGAAGGAAAATTCTGACTTTTCAAAATCTAATCAGAATGAAACCAAATAATTTCAAAATGTTTGGAAAAGAATCTTTACAGGTCAATCAAAGCTCTCCCTTTTGATAAAGTGGGTATGGTTTGTTGTGATTTAGACTTTTTAAAAATGTGACTTTATATTTTGTATAAAATAAATATTGGGGGCTAAATCAAAACACTTTGTTTCAATTCTCTTTTCACCAAAAAGAAATGTCATCAAAAGCAATATGTTCCAAAATTGATATGCTCCAGTTTGTGAAAATCAATGTTTCCATGGAAAGTTTAAATTTTGACTATATGGCCATTTCTGATGCATAATGTGCTGTTAGGAAATTTGAAACCAGGTCTACTGTGAAGTCATGACATACAGGTTTCCTTCCCAGCCCTCATAACCAGCCCCCCTAATCCCAAAGTTCAATTTATTAACTTCTACCCTGCAAACCGTTTGCTGTATCCAATGGAAGACAGTTCCTTAGATGCACCAAGTGTCCAGAAGAGGTGTCCATTGATCCATAGGGGGCTTTGGGTGTCTCTTTAGCATGCACCAGCCCCAAGCAGCTATACCCTAAAGCAGAGAGCACTGGAACATGAATGGGGAATAACCGTTCACTAGCGAGATCCAGCAACTGCAGGACTGGCAGAGTAGTCTGAGTTGTGACTTCTTATGGGCTCCATCCACTATTGCAACCCAACTCCACATGGGGTTTCTGAAACTGGGATCCTGAAACTCTTCTAGGAGTTGGCCAGAGTGGCGTTATGGGCGAGGAAGAGAAATTTAAAGTTAGAATCATAGAATCATAGAATAACAGAGTTGGAAGAGACCTCTGGAGGCCATCTAGTCCAACCCCCTGCCCAGAGCAGGACCAATCCCAACTAAATCATCCCAGCCAAGACTTTGTCAAGCCTGACCTTAAAACTTGATGCAAGGGAGAGCTAAGAGGAGGGGCCAAACAGGGTGCTTAACTAATCAGGTGGACAGGTGAGGATGCCTGAATTTTTGATGGGCTGGAGGGTGTGTGAGGTGGTAGTCAGGGAGATGGGAATTTCTACAGTACTAATGGGCTGTTTGTTTGCTTCTTATAGGAGATCTACAAGGACTGCCAGTTTCTATGCCTGTCATTGGTAGGTGGACTTATCCCAGTCGGCACAAATTGCCTCCTCAGAGCTTAGTCAGCATGAAACCCCAAACCAGCTAACACTTGACCATGGGGGGAATTTCCCCCTACACTTCTGTTTGAACCTCTGGAGAGTCCAGTGACTGCAGGTTTGGCAGCGTGGCTGTAGTTACTTCTCCACCTCCACTGCCTGACAGATGGGGGTGAACTTTTCTTTAGAGCTGTAGGTCCAGGACCAGACAGGATGATGCTTGGTAGTGGTGGGTGCATTTGTCCCAGAAGGCCCAAATGACCTCCTCAGAGCTTAGTGAGCACTAAGTAGCTCACACCGCAAACCAGGTGCCACTTTGGTTGAACATCCATTTTTCATTAAATAAATAAATAAATAAAAAATTGTGAGAAACCCTCATCACCCCAGGTAGCTCACACCGTAAGCCAGGTGCCACTGGGAGGTAAGTTCTAGCCATTGCACTCCTCCTTCTACTGACATGGGGCCTGACATTCTAGGACACCAGGTAGAGACAGATTCAGCAGCCAGGTGTCTGACCCTACACTGGCTGTTGCATCCCTGCTCTCAGGAGATTTTGGGCACTGGGAACATGAGTCTTTTGTCTCTTCACCCCCAGGGCCTCACAGGATAGACAGCTGCCTTCTGGGCACATTATGTTCTCTTTCCTCCCCAGGTACTGATTACACTAGTGAACACTGTCAGGGTGTCCCCCTCCTCCTCCAGGAGCTTCATGTTCATGCCTCAGCTGGGGAAGACTGCGAGGGAATCTTCAGGCATCTGAAGGAATTCCTGAAAGGCAAGTGGACCAGCAGGACTAAATTTACCGCCTCTCCCTGTGTCTAATCATTTAGAATTGGATTTTCAAATGGGGTCCAAAGTCTACGTCCTTTGGTGCCTTCGGTAATGCCAGCTCTCATGAATTGCTGTGAATGAATTGTGGCATGCTCATTTCCATGACAACATCCATGTATTTCCCAATATTTTCACAAATCCCCAGGGCTGTTCCAATACACACAGGCTGAAGTTTTCAAAAGGGCCTGAGGGAATTAGGACCCCAAATACTATTGCTTTTCAATGGACCTGGGCACCAAAACTGCCTTAGCCCCCATTGAACGCCCCTGAAACCCTAAACATATCTAATGAGCCTTCCATTGTTGTCCCAAATCTAACCTCATTTTGTCCATTATTTATGCAGAGGAGAACTGCAACAATTCCTACCTGAAGTGCTGTGAAGTGAGTGAGACCAGGGATTTGAAGAGCTGCGAAGAAAGAATGGTGGTGTTCGCTGAACTCATCTGGATTTTTGAAAAGGAACTTGGAGGCAAATTTTATAGAAACTTTTCTCAGTTAGACAGGATTTTTCAAAGCCATCGCACCCATTGACTTTCCAAATTATTGCCCCAGATGTGGGAGCAAAGAACCAGATGTGCCCTAAAAGGAAGAAAATTTGTCATTTAACTATTTCCCTCCATAATTCATCATTTCAAGTGTGTCATCTCTTTCTTCTATTTCCCCCCTCACATTAAGAGGGAAAAACAAAAAGTTATGATAACCAGTATCTGGTTAAAGGTTAGGAATCAAAGACTAGGAATAAATGGTCACTTTTCACAATGGAGAGAGGTAAATAGTGCGGTGCCCCAGGGATCTGTGCTGGGACCAGGGCTGTTCAACATATTCATAAATGATCTGGAGAAAGGAAAACTTGCAGATGATACAAAACTACTCAAGATAGTTAAGTCCAAATCAGACTGGGAAGAGTTACAAAGGGACCTTATAAAACCGAGTGACAGGGCAAGAAAATTACAGATGAAATTCAATGTTGATAAATGCAAAGTAATGCACATTGGAAAACATTATCCCAACTCTATATGATGTGGTCTAAATTAGCTGTTACCACTCAAGAAACAGATCTTGGAGTCATTGTGGATAGTTGACAGAAAACATCCACTCAATGTGCAGCTGCAGTCAAAAAAGCTAACAGAATGTTGGGAATCATTAGGAAAGGGATAGATAATAAGACAGAAAATATCATATTGCCTCTATATAAATCCATGGTACGCCCACATCTTCAATACTGCGTGCAGCTCTGGTTTCCCCATCTCAGAAAAGGTATATTAGAATTGGAAAAGGGTCAGAAAAGGGCAACAGAAATAATTAGGGGGATGGAACAGCTTCTGTATGAAGAAAGATTAAAAAGAAAGGGACTGTTTCTCTTGAAAAAGAGACGACTGAGGGGAGATATGACAGAGATCTATTAAAATCATAAATTGTGTGGGAGAATATGAATAGGGAAGTGTTATTTACCATTTCACATAGCACATGAACCAATGAAATTAATTGGCAATAAGTTTAAAACCAACACAAGGAAATATTTCTTCAGACAATGCACAGTCAATCTGTGGAACTCATTGCCAGGGTTGTAAAGGCCAAAAGTGTAATCGGGTTAAAAAAAGAATTAGAACAGTTCATGGAGGCTAGGTCCATCAATGGCTATTAGCCAAGATGGTCAGGAATACAGTCCAATGATCTGGGTGTCCCTAAAGCTCTGACTAATAGAAGCTGGGACTGGACAACAGGGGATAGATCAGTCAATAAATTGACCTGTTCTGTTCATTCCCCCTGGCCATTCATATGTTCTTATGTAAGGCCCTAGGGTCCTTTTGACACCAAAATCCTATTGAAAGTCTATGGGAATGTGTCTCCTAACACTGACATTCAAAAAGTTCAAGCTTTATAACCATTAAAATACAAATTGTCAACATCACTTGTCAAAATATATAAAGTAAATATAGTTAAATCAAACTCAGATGAGTTCTCAAGCAGCATTTTTCATGCTTTGCCTCTCGGTAAATTTCTGTTATCATAGATCATATAGACGGGAATTATTTTTCCCATGTGAGTGTCCTATGAAATTGACATTTACTGATCAAAATCTAATCCTTCCAAGACTAATAATAGTTAAGAAATAAGGAATCCCACAAAAGATACAGAGATGCTGAATAAGAATGCTTGTAAGTTTCAGGCCATATGGTTAAAAGATTTAAACCTGGAATGGGATTTTTGAAAGCATCTAGGCACCTAACCTCCACTGATTTCAAAATCCCACTAGGTGCTTAAATATTTTTTTTAAATCTGGCCCTGAGGGACTTTGCTGTAATTTAAGAGAACACAAGGCCATTTAGAACTTATCCTGAAGTAATACCATATAGAAGGTGTGTGGCAGTTAAGTATCTAGCAGCCTTAGATGTCGTTGAGTAAACAAAGGCTAAACTTACCTTTGGAGAAAGTAAATTTAGTTACTAATTTTTTATTAACGAGCAACAGGATTGTTGACAGTATAATTTTTTTATTTATTTAATTTTTTTATAAGCATAGTAAGAAGCACAATGTCAGGTGTTCTAGGTCTGGTAAAACCAAAGTAAAAGTTATTTCTAAAAGAGAATATTTTCCATCAGTTAATCCATTTTGTTCTTGATTTAGAACAAACCCCAACATTTCAAATTTCTCTGTATAAAGACCCTGGAGTTGTGGGTTCCCCCTGATCTCATGCAGTCTTCTGGCCTGCCCTTTCACTCCTGACCCACCACTCTCTCCTCAAACCCCATCCCCATTCCAAGTCCTGTCACACCAAAACTGGTCCTCAGTTATGCCTGTGAAAATGCAAAGAAACATCCATTGTCAGAGGGGGCTGCACAAGTAGGAGTCCCTGCATCCTGCCAGCGCAGTGTCTGTCAGTCAGTCTGGGAGCTAAACAATCAGACAGGCTGAGTCCAGTAGCCCCGAAGCAGAATAACCTCTGTGTTTATTGCAATTGCTCTGCAAGGGGCACTATGCTACCTGAGTGCCTGTGGATCAACAAATACCTGTCTCTGCCCCTACTCACACCTACTAGCAACCGAGAAGAAAAAAGGAATTCAGTCTATAGACTTCTAGCTATTTCTTTGTACTTATTTTCAGCTTTGATTTTTATTCTGATTTTTTTTTTTGCCTAATAGGATGTTCATGCCAATTGTTAAGGAAAACCATAACCTGTCTCCTCTACTGGATATGGGGGTGCACCAACAACTTTCTGTACAAAAGTAGTAAGCAAAATCCATTTGAATTGCACTTTCCACTTTTGTTTCTACCTCTGCAGTATGAATTTCCCTGTTTTTCAAGGTTCTGTTTTGACAGAGAATAGCTTAAACAGAAAGCAATGGGAAAAAGGCAGCCAGATTGTATAATGGGCAAAAGAAGGCAGCAGAGGGTGAGAGACAGGAAAAAAGTAGCTATGCTGTGTAATGGGTCGCAGGGGGCAGCAGGGGGTGAGAACATAAGAATGGCCACACTGGGTCAGACAGATCTAGCCCAGTATCTTGTCTTCTGAAAATGGCCAATGCCAGGTGCTTCAGAGGTAATGAGCAGAACAGGTAATCATCAAGTGATCCATCCCCTGTCGCCCATTCCCAGCTTGAAGGGGCGACTATACTGTATAATGGGCACTAGGGACAGCAGAGGGTGGGGGTGGGGAAGGGGCAGCAGTGGGGAAGGGATTGGCGGGGGGGGGGGGGAGGGGACAGCTGTCTTATAGCCCACAAAGCTTTAAAGATAGTGTCATGAAATTTATCACAAATTCTGTATCTAGTAACCTGTTTATTGGCCTCCACATTGCCATATTACCTGAGTGCCTGGTGACAGCTGAGAATTTCCTGCAAGGCAGAGAACTGTTATTCGCATGTAACTGATGGAGATCTGAGGTGCAAAAATGAGAAATGACTTTCTCAAGACCCCAGAGGGAGGATGTTGAGGACTATGAGAATTATCACAAACCTATGAAAATTCTTGTGCACAAGAGAGAATAAAAGCAGCAGTAAAAATGGAATTTCTGCTTTTTGTTCCAACAAACTTTTCTGAATATTTGTTTTGGTTTGTTTTGCATTATCCACTCACCACTGTTTGAGAGCTGGTGTGGCAATGTATTTTACAAGGTTTTATGAGACTCAGATTGCAAGGCATCCCCAATCATCATTAAGGCAAGAGGTATTCTTTACAGCTGGTCAACATTTATCAAGTGATATTTTCATTCTGAGTGGAAAATGGCCATTTTCTAAAATCAACTTTTTCACAGAAAAAACTCAGTTTTTTCGGGGAAATTATTGGATTAAAATCTCTGTTGTTCATGAAAAACAGAAAATGAGTCAGCTTCCATCCCTGTGGAATGAAACAATTTTGAAATTCCAATGCTTTTTGGGGTGTGAGGGGGGAGAAGCAGATATTCTTCATTTTTTTGACCAGCTCTGTCATAAATATAAAGGAAGGGTAAACCCCTTTGAAATCCCTCCTGCCAGGGAAAGCTCCTCTCACCTGTAAAGGGTTAAGAAGCTAAAGGTAACCTCGCTGGCACCTGACCAAAATGACCAATGAGGAGACAAGATACTTTCAAAAGCTGGGAGGAGGGAGACAAACAAAGGGTTTGTGTCTGTCTGTGTGCTGCTCTTGCCAGAGACAGAACAGGAATGGAGTCTTAGAACTTTTAGTAAGTAATCTAGCTAGGTATGTGTTAGATTATGATTTCTTTAAATGGCTGAGAAAAGCATTGGGCTGAATAGAATAACTATTTCTGTCTGTGTATCTTTTTGTAACTTAAGCTTTTGCCTAGAGGGGTTCTCTATGTTTTTGAATCTAATTACCCTGTAAGATATCTACCATCCTGATTTCACAGGGGGATTTCTTTATTTCTATTTACTTCTATTTTTTATTAAAAGTCTTCTTGTAAAAACTGAATGCTTTTTCATTGTTCTCAGATCCAAGGGTTTGGGTCTGTGGTCACCTATGCAAATTGGTGAGGCTTTTTATCCAACATTTCCCAGGAAAGGGGGGTGCAAGTGTTGGGAGGATTGTTCATTGTTCTTAAGATCAAGGGTCTGGGTCTGTAGTCACCTAGGCAAATTGGTGAGGCTTTTTACCAAACCTTGTCCAGGAAGTGGGGTGCAAGGTTTTGGGAAGTATTTTGGGGGACAGACGCGTCCAAACAGCTCTTCCCCAGTAACCAGTAATTGTTTGGTGGTGGTAGCGCCATTCCAAGGATACGGGTGTAATATTTTGTACCTTGGGGAGTTTTGACCTAGCTGGTAAAGATAGCTTAGGAGGTTTTTCATCGGTCCCCACATCTGTACCCTAGAGTTCAGAGTGGGGGAGGAATTGACCAGCTCCAATTGCCTTTTTGAGTGTTCATGGAAAGTAAATAAAAGGGAAACCCACATGAAACCCAAAGGCACTGTGGGGCTTTTGTTTGGACAGATGATTGTCAGTGTGTTGTTGCTGTGTTTGCCCCACTCTGTTGTGAGCTAGTGTCAAAGCAAACAGTAAATGTTCTCGGTATTAATATGATTCAGAATTTGCCCTGAGTCAGGACTTCTTTATAACACAGCCGGGATTCTCATAAAACGGAGACTTACCAAATGCTGGCTCAAATATGTGTTTATAGATCATGCCCATGTGTCACTGAGCTGGTTTAGATGCTAATTTCTCAAAATTAGAGCTGAGGTTTTTCAAGGAGGCTCAGGGCAAGGTTTTAGTGTCTAAAGATACCGATAGACATCTGTGGTTAATAGGATTGAGACATCTAGGCCCAGATTGTCAAAGGTATTTATGCGTTGATGTGGTCAGCATTGCAACACAAAACTGATTTAGGACTACGGACTGCCAATGAGATTTTCTCTCCTAAACATTGAGATTGGACTCCTAAATCTGTTAGGCACTGAGGTCAGAAGTGCCTAAATACCTTTATCAATCTGGGCCCTGGGCACTTTGAATACCCACTGGGCCTCTCTCTCTATCTTTAGGCACCAACCCACCTTTGCAAGTCTGGCCCCTTGTGGTGACTGCAGAAGCACCGAAGCAGGGTAGGCATCTAACTCCCACTAGTTTCAAATGGAATTAGGTGCCTGTCAGTGACCAGAATGGGGGTTGTCGTGCCTACTGGTTAGAGCAGGAGTCATGCTGAGTGATGACAGCAGGCATCAGTAGCCAGGAATTGGAGCCGAGGGTAGGTACCAGAGTCAAAGGCCAGTGGCCGCTGCCGAGGGTCAAAGGCAGAGTCAGAGGCCAGGAATCAGAGACGGTTATTGGCGCAAGACAAGGTGGGTCCAAGGCTGGGCACAGGGCAGGAGCAGGAGCTCTCCCAGCCATGGGTGAATTCTTTGAGCAGCCAGAGCCCTGTCACTGGTCATAAGAGCAAGTTTGCAGCTCCCCACAGCCCCACCCCACAGCCAGTTGGGTGTTTGGGCTAATCAGGCAGCTCAGCTGGGGCCCAGCTGTGCTCGTTAGACTGTGGGGGGTTAAGCTAGCACATAATTAGGCTAGCTGCATCTCCCTTCTCCTGACAGTGCTTAACTTGCTTTAGGTGCCTTAGGAAATCCCACTAGGAGTTTATCTGCCAGTTGAGGCACCTTTGAAAATGCACATGGAATTCAGGGGGATTTGGGCTCCTCACTCATTGTGACCCGCTGGAAAAATCACAGCCTAAAACAATACTTGGGTGCACTTTCGCAGGTCATGATGCCCAATCCACTGGTTTGACCAACGAACAAATTAATCTACTTGATTGATGCCGGCATTGCCATAAATTCTGCCTACCCCCTCGTTCTGCGCCCACAGAGGAAAGTGCAACTGATCCTCTCCTTCGACTTCAGCGCCAGGGATCCTTTCGAGGTAACTTCTGTTATTCATTGTGATATCTCCCAACGCCCCCGTCAGGATCAAGCACTGCAGAAATACCCAGGACTTGGCCCATGACCCAGTGAGGTTACACGGTTGTTAGCAGCAGTAATTTGGATTCCCTGAAGGTGCTGTGGGGATCACAATTTGAGATGTGTGGATGTATAGGATCCACTGGGAATATTTACCTTATTCCCTGCAAGGTCGCTTGGGATTGGGGTGTGGGCACGTGGCCAGTCGTGACCTCTCTTTCCCTGTGGATGTCATGGAAGAAGAGGAAAACTTGAAATTCAGTTTTACTCTGTGTAAAAATGGCAGCTGCTTACTCCACAGATGTGCCCGTGTGTGTATCACAGTCCTATCTGACAGGCTAAATGACAGTCATTAGGTTTGACCACTTTTCATTTCTGTTAGCACGTACAGAGCCAAGAGCTGCTCTAGCAGGAGAAGACGGGGTCAGTAGAAATGTGAACTAAGTTCCAGTAAGTCAGTTAGAACTCTGCAAACTCGCTAACCTCAGCCTCCCATATCACCAGGGCTCCATAGGTGATATTGTCTCCCTCTAGTGGCCGCAGCTACTGTAACGCTTTGCTACTTTGTTTACATCAAAGACAAGTTTTTCTATAGATGAATTTGTAAAAGACAAAACAAAAATCAAACTTGTGCTTTTGGAGCTGAAAGTCTGGGTTTTGATTTCTGTTTATTACGTTGGGCTGAGGTTAAGGGACCTAAGGGATTAATTTTTATGGGCATCCACATCCCTTAGGAGCTTTTGAAAACCTCAGCCACAGTATATGCATTGTTATGCAAAGATTCCTGCTACACAGATAAGGCAACAGGATCATGTCTGGTTTCCATGGAGGCCCTCGATTAGTCAGTTCTTTAGAGGCTCCTTGGAATGTTTGTATACTGTAGGTGAGGGATATTTTTAACTCTCTAGCCTGGCCATATTAGTGACATCACATTTTATTAATGGGATGGTCATTTTTTATTTATTTCTTTTAAAATTACTTTTCCCTCTTTCCCAGACCATCAAGAAAACTGCCATTTATTGTAAGACAAATCACATCCCATTTCCCGAGATAGATCCAGAAGAGATTAAGGACCCAGATCACCCCTCCGATTGCTACATCTTCAGAGGAAAGGATGTTCCCACTGTCATGCACTTCCCACTCTTCAACACCATAAATTGTCCAGGTAACTTAATTGTGCACCACTCTTCTAAAACTCTATGGGCTAGATTCGCAAACAGACTTCGGTGCCTCATTGCCAGTTTAGCCACCTAAATGTTAGAACCAGGCCTCACTGGGAATCACAAAACCCTTGCTCAGCTGCCACCAGACTCTATAGGAATCTACACTTGCTCAGGGCCTATGATTTTCAGAAAAGTTCTCTCGGTGCCTGAGTTTCCGTCTCTGGGCATGTCCACTGCTGCCCCATCCTAGGCTTCCAGATACATGAAGAGAGGTGTTTCTCTGCCTCACTTGGCTGTGGCAGTCATGCTGAGGCATGGCCTGCAGGATCAGGCCCCACACGTGCGCTCAGACAAATGCAGGGAGGGAGGCCCTCCCTCATAACTTTTAGCCCAGAGGTTATGGCACTCACCTGGGATGGGGGGGCAGGTCAAGTTCCCCCTCAGCCTGAGGGAGGAGAAGGGATTTGAAGAGGGATGTGCCGTCTCTCAGGCAAAGGCCAAAACCACTGGGCAAGGGGATATGCTGATGTGGGACTCCCTCAGTATCTCCTATTGTATCTGTTCTACTTTGGATAAAGAATTGGAGAGTCAGCGGAACAGGGGGAATGGAGGCCGGGCCCCCCACAGCCCGTGTAAGTGCTGTAACCACCAGGCTATAGAGTGTCTGTCATCACAGATGAGAACCCCAAGCAGAGACAGGCACCTCCCTCTAGCCTGGACTTGGGTGCTGAACTCCCTCAGCGGTTAGCACACATCCCTCTCCTGGGCATCTCCCACGGGCTAGCGTAGGTGGTTCCCAGCCTAGCATACTGGTGTTTGTGGATCACTTTCCCAGGAGCCTGTCTCTCTTCTTTCATTGCACAGGGAGCCTGGGCACCTAACTCAGCCTTTGTGAATCCCAGTGATTTTCCAGGGGTCTAAAATTAGGCGCCATGACTCTCCGTAACCCAGCCCCTGAGTTCCGCTGTTCTCTGGTGGACCGCCTTTTCCCAGGACTCAGCCCTCAGGCCAGATCACAATGTAAATCCACCCATTCTGGTGTACCAGTTTCCCACAAATAAAAGTCCAGTATCCTTATAGCAGGTCTCTGGCACCAACTCTAGGTCCTAGGGATGTTGTACCACCTTGCCCCATGGCTTCCAGTCATCCTTGTCCCCTTCTTAAGGACTTCATGCCACTTTCTCCTGTAGCTGGTAAGGGAACCCTGGCCCTCGCACTCCACCGGGTTCCAGTCCAGGGGCCCTATAAACAACAGTGAAGGTCCACTCCTTTTACAGGCCTTCTCCCTCCACAACCTCTGTAGGTTCAGCCTTCTTTCAGGGCCAGGGCTCTCCCCTGGAACCCCCTAACACAAATCCCGAGCTAAAAGGATAAACTCAAGCCAATTACTACTCTCCTCAGGCTTGGCCTCTCATCCATCCCTGCTGCTTTGTTCCTCTGCTGAGCAATTCCCAGAGCTCTTTCCCTGGTTCTCCAGTTCCTGCCCTTTTATCAGGGCTTAGTACTGCAGCCTGCTCTGTTCCAATGGATGCTTTCTCTCACTGCTTCTTGCCAGATTTCGATACTCAGGAGACCATCCCCGAAGCCAACTCTCTTCCATGTCTCTCCACTCCCTAACCCAGAGAGAGGTCCTCCTTGCAGCCTCCTCCTTCTCTGAAACTCCTGCCTTCATGGAGCCCACCCAGCTCCCTCCCCAGCTGGGACTCACCTTCAGCTAAGTCTGGTTCTCCCTCCAGGTGTAGCCAGGGAACATAATTGGCACACATTAACCCTTTCAGGGCCTGTCTGAGCTACACAGTCCATCACATCAGTGTATATAGATAGCTAGATAGGCTATCCCCATACACCCTAGCTATCTAGCTATCTAGCTAGATAAGCTCCCTTAAAAGCATGAGATGGGCTTAAAATCATGACATTGTTAAAACAATAAGCATTTGGTTATTTGTATTTGTTTGCTGGTTTCTAAGCCTTTAAAGTGCATCAGTGTCACATTTGCAGGTTTTACTCTGAAACCTAAGGACTGGAAACTTACTTTTGAAAATATAAATAACAGCTGTGATCCTCACCTAATCCTGGTAACAATCTTCAAATATAGACTCATAGAATACCAGGATTGGAAGGGACCTCAGGAGGTCATCTAGTCCAACCCCCTGCTCAAAGCAGGACCAATCCTGAATTTTTGCCCCAGATCGCTAAATGGTCCCCTCAATGATTGAACTCACAACCCTGGGTTTAACAGACTAATGCTCAAATCACTGAGCTATCCCTCCCTCTTAAGTATGTTAAGGGCTTTATAAAGCGGATGAGATCAATGATTCTCAATGTCCATTGAAAATAGGACAAAAAGTCATAGGCTTAATATGGAGCATGGGAGATTTAGGTTCACTATTAGATTCATAGAACGATAAGGTTAGAAGGGACCGCAAGGGTCATCTAGTCTAACCCTCAGCCAAGATGCAGGATTTGTTCTGTCTAAACCATCCCAGACAGATGGCTACCCAGCCTCCTTTTGAAAACCTCCAGTAAAGGAGATTCCACGACCTCCCTAAGCAGTTTGTTCCATTGTCCTACCATTTTTACAGTTTGGATTTTTTTTCCAGAGATTTAATCTAAATCTGCTCTGCTGTAGTTTGAACCCATTGCCTCTTATCCTGCCCTCTATGGCACGAGAGAAAAACTTTCTCGGTCTTTTTTATGGCAGTCTTTTAAGTATTTGAAGACAGCTATCATGCCCCACTTAATCTTCTCTTTTCCAAACTGAACATACCCAGTTCCTTCAGCCTTTGCTCATAGGGCTAGCATTTCATCCCTTTGAACATCTTTGTCACTCACCTCTGGAGCCTTTCCAACTTCTGTATATCCTTTCCATACGTTAATGACCAAAATTAGACACAGTACTCGAGCTCAGGTCTAACCAGCACTGACTACAGTTGCCCTGTATCACCTGTATCACCTCTCGTGACTTCCATACCATGTCTTTGTTAACACAGCCTAAAATTGCATTTGCTTTCTTTGCAACAGCATCGCATTGCTGACTCATATTGAGGTTGTGATCCACCACAACTTTCAGATCCTTCTCAGCAGCGCTGCTGCCAGGCCAGTTACCCCCTATTCTGTATTTGTGCATTTGGTTTTTCTTCTCTCAGTGCAGAAATTTACATTTGTCTTTGTTGAATTTCATTTTGTTGTCTATAGCCCAATGCTCCAAGTTATCAAGATCCCTTTGAATTTTAGCTCTATCCTCCAAAGTGTTGGCAACCACTCTAGCTTTGTGTCATCTGCAAACTTGATAAGTATATTCTCTATTCCTACATCCAGGTCATTAATAAAGATGTTAAACAAGACTGAACACAGCACAGATCCCTGTGGAACCCCACCTGAGACCTCCTCCAATCTGACATCATTCCATTAATAGTTACTCTTTGTTTGAGGTTGTTTAACCAATTATATATCTGTTTAATGGTAGTTCTACCAAGTCCGCATTTCTCCAGCTTACTTATCAGAATGTCATGTGGGATTGTGTCAAAATCCTTGCTGATGTCCAGCTATATTATGTCCACTTCATTCGCCCTATCAACCAAATCAGTTACCCTGTCAAAGAAGGAAATCAAGCTGGTTTAGCATGATTTGTTCTATGCCAATCCATGCAGGCTGCTAATGATCACCTCTTTGTTCTCCAGGTATTTGCAAATTTAATGTTTTAAACATTGTTCTAGTAGGTTCCCAAGTTCCCTGGCTCCCCTTTCCCCCCCTTTTAAAGATGAGCTCTTCTCCAGTCTTCCAGGACCTCTCCTGTCATCCATGAGTTCATAATTATTATTGCCAGTGACTCCAAGATTTCTTCAGCTAATTCCTTCAGTACCGTCGGTAAATAGCATCAGGCCTTGCTGATTTGAATTCATTAAATTGGTCAGAAAATCTGTGAAATGTTCTTTACTTATTCAGATCTTCATCCCTTCCCCTTTATTGTTTATGTTGCTAGTCATCTGGTCACATGTTATTTTTTGTTGGGGGAAAAAAACTAAGAAAAACTTCCTAACTCTCAGGGTAGTTTCACTCTGGAATAGACTTCCATGGGACGTAGTGGAATCCTCATCTGAAGATTTTAGGAACAGCTTGGATAAACATATGTCACGGATGTTCTAGGTTCACTTGGTCCTGCCTCAGCACAGGAAATTGGACTTAGTGATGTTTCAAGGTCCCTTTCAGCCCCACATTTCTGTGATTCTAAGAAAACCTCAGAAGTTGGCCATGGTGTTCCCCTTCCTCTTTAGGTACCTGGATTCTATGCTCCTGGGAGCAGTAAAAGTGTAAAAGCAGTACCACTGTTTCCCTCTATTTGACATTACCCACCTGTTTTTTTCCTAGGTAAAATAAAGGACTTCAGAGACAAGTTTACCACCTTTACTAGACATTACTCAGAGGATGATGTCAAAGAACTCCTCAAAAGAGCAAAGATGAATGTGTCCAACAACAAGGAGAAGATTTTGAATGAGATCCGGCAGATTGTGTCCTCCTCCACCAAGGAGTTTTAAAACCACATCTCTGTTTGGCTCCTGATAATGAAGGACAGAAAATCTGTGCCTGGCTCTGACTTGCATATTTCCCAAGAGGCTGTTCACTGTGACCACTTAGAACCTAAGTGCAGCAGGGAGGAGTTAGTTTCCCAGTGTTAGATTCACAAAGCGATTTAAGTACCTAACTGCCCCTGTAGGTGCCTGAGTCACAGATTTAGGCACTCCTGGGGTCACAAAATTCTTGCTCAGCTGCCAGAGAACCCTGTAGTGCCTAAACTCCCTCAGCACCAAAGTTGTTTTAGTGAAATTTCCCTGGGTGTCTATGTTTCTGCCTCAGGGCATGTGCACTGCAGCCGCCATCTCAGTGTCCAGGGCCCTAAGACCCAGAGTGATTCCCTACTCGGGAAAGACAGGCGTTCCTCTTCCTACCTTACCTGTGGAGCCTGAGCCATGGTGCGAGAAGGAGGAAGATGGCTTCCCTCAGAACTGTTAGCCCAGTAGTCAGCGTACTCACTTGGGATGGAGGAGACCTCAGGTCAAGTTCCCTGGCTGCCTCAGGGGGAGAAGGGATTTGAAGAGGCATCTGCTATCTCTGAGGAGAGGGCTCTCATCACTGGGCAGTGGGAAAGTGTAATTGTTATGGCGGCTTTGAGAGAGAGAGAGAGAGCAAGGGTGAGAAGCCTGATGGCTGCAGCACTCTCCCTCTGAGATCACAGACCCGGGATCTAGTCCCCCAGCTCTACAGCCCACAGTGGTAGGCCCCACAGGTGAGCTATGTGGAGGAACACCTGTCTTCCCGCAGTTCGTGCATTGCTGTGGGGCTTAGGCATCTGTATACCTAGAGCAGGGCAGCCGTGTGCATGTCCAGAGGCACCAAGGGAACTCTTACTGCCAAAACATGGGTGTTGACTGAGATAAGGCATCTACAGGATTCAGCGACAGCTGAGTGGGGGTTTGGTGACTCCCAGTGGGGCCTGATGCTGGGCTTCTGGTATGTAATATGGCCACTAGGAGCCAAGTCCTTTTGTGAATGTAGCTCTGGCCATGGAATAATGAATTTGGTAAAATGGTCCTAGATGCCTAGATAGATAGTATGTGATGATTATTAGACACATAAGTAGATAGACGGTAGATAATGATGATCGAGCTAGCTAGCTAGATTTATCTACAATACATACAATACATACAATAGCTTGTGATGAGAGGGTTGACATAACTAGATAGATGAATATACAATAGCTTGTGGTGATGGACAGATTAATACATAATAGGTTAAGATAAATAGATGGGGTATATGGGGTATATGGGGATAGATAGATAGATAGATAGATAGATAGAATTTATAAGACACATACATACATGTTGGTTTGTCAGTGCTCACATGGCACCACTCTCGGTTGACCAGACATCCCAATATTCTTGGGACCATTCCGATATTAGGGGCTTTGTCTTATATACTCAACTATTCCCCCACCCCACCAAAAACCGTGTCCCGATTTTTCACACTTGCTATCTGGTCACCCTACACCACTGTCACACAGAAATTTACATTGTGCAGAATGATAATATTACAGCTGCCTGGCACACAAATGTGTCTGCAAGATTTCTCTGTGGGTTCTCCTAGTTTAGAAGAGGAATGGAAGTAAGAAAGGAATTTTGTGCCAAGCTGTGATCCATGATCCATCCACCTAGGGAGGTGGTAGAATCTCCTTCCTTAGAGGTTTTTAAGGTCAGGCTTGACAAAGCCCTGGCTGGGATGATTTAACTGGGAATTGGTCCTGCTTCGAGGAGGGGGTTGGACTAGATGACATTCTGGGGTCCCTTCCAACCCTGATATTCTATGATTCTATGATTCTATGAAACAGTCTCATTAACACCCCTGGTAAATGTGGAGTAACTTTACTAAAGCTGATGATGTTACTCTCCATTTACATGGAGGCTAGAATCTGGCCTGTTATTTATAACGGTGCATTTTTTATTGCTTGTTAATTTCCAAATCATTTTTTCTTTCGCTGTGTGTGACAATAACATTTTACAACACTCTTTCCTTCTGTGTGATGAATATTAAATAAATAAACGATAATGTCCCATCATTTTTCACCTTGTCTGCCTCAGTGCTAGAAATAGCCCGGCTTTCTTCCACCACCGGCTGATTGTTCCACAGTAAGTGAGTGCGCAAGGGACTAAAGTCACAAAGGGACGCAGGATATGTCCGCACTTAAAATGCTACGGCGGCACAGCTGTAATGCTTCAGTGAGGACACGCACTGCAGTGATGGGTGGGGTTCTGTAGGTAATTTATCCCCTCCCCAACTCACACACAGAGGCAGTAGCTAGGTCGCTGGAGAAATGCTTCTGTCAAGCTGGCTAGATTGTCGGGCTCAACGGGTAGTGATCAATGGCTCCGTGTCTAGTTGGCAGCCGGTATCAAGTGGAGTGCCCCAAGGGTCGGTCCTGGGGCCGGTTTTGTTCAATATCTTCATAAATGATCTGGAGGATGGTGTGGATTGCACTCTCAGCAAATTTGCGGATGATACTAAACTGGGAGGAGTGGTAGATACGCTGGAGGGGAGGGATAGGATACAGAAGGACCTAGACAAATTGGAGGATTGGGCCAAAAGAAATCTGATGAGGTTCAATAAGGATAAGTGCAGGGTCCTGCACTTAGGATGGAAGAATCCAATGCACCGCTACAGACTAGGGACCGAATGGCTAGGCAGCAGTTCTGCGGAAAAGGACCTAGGGGTGACAGTGGACGAGAAGCTGGATATGAGTCAGCAGTGTGCCCTTGTTGCCAAGAAGGCCAATGGCATTTTGGGATGTATAAGTAGGGGCATAGCGAGCAGATCGAGGGACGTGATCGTTCCCCTCTATTCGACATTGGTGAGGCCTCATCTGGAGTACTGTGTCCAGTTTTGGGCCCCACACTTCAAGAAGGATGTGGATAAATTGGAGAGAGTCCAGCGAAGGGCAACAAAAATGATTAGGGGTCTGGAACACATGAGTTATGAGGAGAGGCTGAGGGAGCTGGGATTGTTTAGCCTGCAGAAGAGAAGAGTGAGGGGGGATTTGATAGCTGCTTTCAACTACCTGAAAGGGAGTTCCAAAGAGGATGGCTCTAGACTGTTCTCAATGGTATCAGATGACAGAACGAGGAGTAATGGTCTCAAGCTGCAGTGGGGGAGGTTTAGATTGGATATTAGGAAAAACTTTTTCACTAAGAGGGTGGTGAAACACTGGAATGCGTTACCTAGGGAGGTGGTAGAATCTCCTTCCTTAGAGGTTTTTAAGGTCAGGCTTGACAAAGCCCTGGCTGGGATGATTTAACTGGGAATTGGTCCTGCTTCGAGCAGGGGGTTGGACTAGATGACCTTCTGGGGTCCCTTCCAATCCTTATATTCTATGATTCTATGATTCTATGAACCTAGTGCTGTCTGCACCAGGGGTTAGCTCGGCCTGGCTACATCTGAGAGTCGTAGCGCTGCCGATGTCAGTTTTCAGTGCAGCCCACCCCTTCGGCGCTGAGCGTCACCACTCCTAACTCTTAGGTGCTTAGAAAATCACTGGGATCCACAAAGCCTGCGTGAGGTGCCCAGGTCTCTGTGCAATGAATGAGGAGGGACAGACACCTAAGAATGGGATCCATAAAAGCCAGCCCTTGCCGGGAGGTGACCAAGCTAGCCCACGGGAGATGCCAAGGAGAGGGCTGTGTGCTAAGCCCTGCCCCTCTTGCCTCTTTGTGAGAAAAAAATTACTTGCCTGAGTAAGGGCTAGATTCAGATTCTCTTGCTCACACTGAGTTGTACTTTACACCGTAAGTCATTCCAATGGCACTATTCGTGGAGCACCATGCTACTCAATGACAGCAAGGGGATCAGAAGTCTGCTGGAACTGTAACAAAGAAACAAGTATCCAGCGCTCGCACGGCTGTGGAAAGAGATGGACACGAGAGAAAACAGGGCTCAGCTGTGGTTAATAATTATATCCTAGGTTAGTCACCTGCTACGCAGGGTTTAACCCCGCCACAAAGACTATGGTTCTTGTGGGCTGCAGTGATCACCACACAGAGGATTTTGCAAGAATGCAAGAGTAGGCTAGTGCCCAGAATAGAGCCGTGATATTTACACCTGTCTGAGTTAATAGCCACAGAAAGAATAACCTATTGCCATAGAAAGCAATGACATGCATTTGAAGAAATTTGGGCCTCCAGACATATTTAGTTAAAAACATTGAGATGGCTCAAAGAATGCCAGACCTCCCTTCCACCTACCCCCTCCTCTTTTTCCCTTCCCCCGTCCCAGGTCAACTCCTTTCCTCCTTTCTCTATTCATGTGTGTCTTCTCCTCTTTTATTACTGTCCCTCTGCCCTCCAGGTATGCTATGTCTATGTAGCATTGTCTGCCTTTGTATTGTCTCACCTGGCTGCTTTGAAAAGTTGTAAAATTGTGTCATCCCATAGTTCTACTGGAGTAGAGCCCTGTGCCTGACCCAGTCCTAATGGGACGCAACTACAGGCACTGGGTTCGGGATGCGGTGGGTACAGGACCCAATGACAAGTGTCAGGTTTGGGTCGGAGATGAACAGTCACACCCATGAGACAGGGCAGCCCAGACCCTGCACCTCCTCCAGTCCTGCTCAATGATGGGGAGAGGAGGTGCCTGGAGGTGGGGTCTGGAGCGGGGTTGGGTGGCGAAAAGGTGGCCGGGCAAAGCCATGTCATTTTGGGCACGGTTAAGAGGGCTGTTTCTCCTCCAGGGAAAGAGGTGTTACTGGTTGTGTAAAAGCAGCTGCAGACCCAGGCGTCAGGGAGCCAGGCAGGCAGCTGTTTTGGGTGAGCAGGGTGGGGGTGCAGCTTCCCTGACCACACTGCTCCTTCAGCCTATCATGTGTCTCTGAGGCTAAGGTGGGGGGTCTTCCCCCTCACCTCCTCCACATCCACTGCCCGAGCCCCTCTGCTCCCTAGACTCCTCGGCGCACACCCACAGCCCCAAACCTCAGTGCGCCATTCAAGGCAACCTG